AATTCAACACGTTAATAATATTGAAGATAAAGTAATTGAAAATGTCAAAGAAAAAATTAAAGAGGAAACCGATAACGAGTTAACAAATGAAGAACAACCAAAACAAGAAGAAAAGAAAATTAAAATTGTTATTAAAGAAGTTACTTCAGAAACTCCTTCAAGTTCTGAAGAGGAGTCCAAAGGAGTAATGGATAAAACAGCAACAAGTTTAAGTGAAGAAACTAAAGAAGAAAATGTTATTAACCAAGCCATTCTCGAAGAGCCAAAACAACAAATTGATGAAGAAATAAAACAACAAATTGATGAAGAAATAAAACAACAAGTTGGTGAAGAGCCAAAACAACAAATTGATAAAGAAATAAAACAACAAATGGATGAAGAACTAATTGTAACAGACATCCAAAACACTGAATTAATAAATAAAGAAAAAGAAATCCAACGATCAGACTCATTAACACTTTCTAGTGAAGACAAAAAAGAATCAAAAATAAACAATTTATCAGAATGTACCTCTGATAAAGGACTTCTTACCTATGAGCAAAAAGAAATAAATGAATTCTTCAACAAAATTGATGGAGAAGTTCAGTTAATACCAGTCCAAAAGATTAAATCTAAACCAGGAAAAAGAAAACAAATAACTAAACAAGGATTTGCTTACCGTAAGACATTGTCATGTGAGACAGACCAATCACTTAATAAAGTTAGAAGTCAAGATTCTCCTTCAGGAGAAATGATCCCACCAAAGAAGGTACCCATTGGAGGGGTACCTTTATTTGGAGGATTTAATCCTGGGAAAGTTGCACTTAAAAAGACTAGTTATCCAAAGGAAGAAAAAGAAAGTAGTACTCAAGATTCTGAATCAAACCCTCCATTAAGAAATGTTCCTGAAAAAACAAGACCTCCTGGAGTACCGGGAGGACAACCGTTATTTGGAGGATTTAATCCTGGAACATTTAAATTAAAAAAGACTGCACAGAAGAAGGAAAACACGCCAGAGAAGAAGTCACAAGAAGAAGTTCCTGAATTTATGAAACTAAAATTAAAGAAAATAGAAAAATGAAAAAGAAGATTATATGTTTAAGATGTAGTAAGTACATTCATGAATTTATTCATTAAAAAAGAAGTTCTGTTAATGTCTCTTTTTTAGTTTGTAAAGAGGTGAGAAGAAGAAAAGGAGGAGAGAAATAATACAATAGTAAAAAGAAAAAAAATTAAAGAAGGAATAATAGAAAAGAAGAAATAGTTTTGATAAAAGAAATGAAATAAATAGGGGATTTTTTGAAGAATAGAAAAGAATAGAAGAGAATAAAATAAGAAAAATAATTCTAAAAATAATAAAGGAAGTAAAAAAGAAGAATGAAAACTTGAAAAAAGAAGATAAATATAAACAATGGAACAAAGATATATATTACAGGAACTGAATGAGAAAGAGAAGTTACTTTTAAAATCATTAGTTTCAATGCTTTGGAATGAAGAAAAATATAAAAGAGCAATTGAAGTAGTTAGAGGAGCATTAATCAAAGAATCATTTTATTTATTTTTAATGAAAATATCACCAGAATTTTTAAGTGAATTATTAACTAAAGGAAGGCATATTAAAGAAATATTAAGTGTAAT